GTTAATAATTAAGACAGAGCTAGTCAATAAGAAGTCCTAGTTATCTGCTAACCGTCTAATAATTAACATAGCGTCTGTGTGTTCATTTGGGGCTGAAACAGCAATAGGGCCTAACCGGGACAAAGAACACCATGATACAAGGGAGGCTTCTGCAGATGTCATCTTATGCAAGTACTCCACATTCAAAGTCCCATTTAAAGAAGGAGAGGCAGAGTTCAAGAGAGTGAGTGTGGAGGACATCTCTTTAGAAACCACTGAAAGGAGATCAGCCTTCTGTCAGATGTGGGGTTAGTGAATATCTTTTCCATTCTGTGGACTGCCTTTTTGTCTTGTTGACTGTGTCCTTTGCCTTACAGAAGCTTTTTAGTTTCAGGAGGTCCCATTTGTTAATTGTCGATCTCAGTGTCTGTGCCACTGGTGTTATGTTCAGGAAGTGTCTCCTGTACCAACACATTGAAGAGCAGAACTCAAGAAGCAAGCCTCCAAAACACCAAAGGATCCAATTAAAAGGTGGGGTACAGAACTAAATAGAGAATTCTCAATAGAGGAGGCTAAAATGGCCAAGAGACATTTAAGAAAGTGCTCAACATCCTTAGCCATCAGGGAAATGCAAATCAAAACAACTTTGAGATACCATCTTACTCCTGTCAGAGTGGCTAAAATCAAAAACACCGAAGACAATTTATGCTGGAGAGGATGTGAAGAGAGGAGAACACTCCTCCACTGCTGGTGGGAGTGCCAACTCGTACAGCCACTTTGGAAATCAGTATGGAGATTCCTCAGGAAAATGAGAATCAATCTACCACAAGACCCAGTAATTCCACTCTTAGGCATATATCCAAAAGATGCAAATTCATACAACAAGGACATCTGCTCCACTATGTTCATAGCAGCATTATTTGCAATAGCCAGAACCTGGAAGCAACCTAGATGTCCCTCAACTGAAGAGTGGATAGAGAAAATGTGGTACATTTACACAATGGAGTATTACTCAGCAGAAAAAAAAACAATGGAATCTTGAAATTCGAAGGTAAATGGATAACACTGGAAGAAACCATCCCAAGTGAGGTAACCCAGTCACAAAAAGACAAACATGGTATGTACTCACTCATATATGAATTTTAGACATGGATCAGGATAGTGCCAGTCTGCACTTCCACTGACAGAGAGTCTGGGAAATAGGAAAGAACCTAAAAGATATGCATGGTACCCAAGAGAAGAGGAATGAGGCAAGATCCTCTGAACAGATGGGGAACACGGCAAGGGGTAGCGGGGAGTGGGAGCTGGGAAGAAGAGAGGGGGAGAAGAGGAAGAGAGAGTAGGTCATGGGGGAAAAGGAATGTCTATAACCATCCTGGAGCCTTCATCCAGTGACTGATGGAAGCAGAGGCAAACACTGAACTGAACCCAAGGAACCCAGTGACAGAGAGAGAGGAGTGATGAGCAAATTGGCAAAGAATGGTCTGGCAAAACCAGCAGAGACAGCTGATCTGAACAGGGGAGAGCTCTTGGACCCCAAACAGACAGCTGGCCTCCCAGCTGTCTGTCTGGGGTCCAGACCAAACGGATCCAGACCCCCGAATATGAGAGTCAGTGAGGAGGCCTGGGCAACCTATGGGGCCCTGAGCAGTGGATCAGTGCTTATCCCTGGCATATAAACAGACATGTGTGTCTATAACACAAAGAGGGATGCTCTCTCAGCCTGGACTCTTAGGGGAGTGCCTGGACCCTACCCTGAGTGAAATGACAGACTCTAGATATCTCCTATGTGGAAGGAATTGGCAATAGGGTGGAAGGCTGGGGGAGGGATGATGGGGGAGTTCGGGAGGAGGGGAGGGACAGGGAACTGGGATTGACATGTAAAACAAGCTATTTAAAATTAAAATAATAAAAAAATTTAAAAGAAACCACTGAAAGGACAAGAAGGAAACATGATCAAACCTATCCATGAGTGGACAGGATAACCTGCTCTCAGACACAACCCTTTAGAAGCAGATGAGTTTTGTCTTCAGAAGCAACTCCTGCTGGTTCTCATTGTCACCCTCCAGGCTGGAAAACAGAGCTGATGGAACATTTTGTCCTTAAGATTAGAAATGGAAGCAGCCGGCCTCATCCTGGAGTTCGCACAGTTTTCTGTCCCTGCTGGCCTGCCTCTACTGAGCAACAGAACTCTAGCTCATGTTCTGTGACTTTTCAGGCCCCAGAAATAATTCTGCCCAGCAGGATTCCACTTGAATGTTTTTCTCTGCCCTCCTGCCTTTCTCAAGGCCCAAGCCTAAAACAGTGTCACTGTACTAAGAGTTCATTTGAAAAGCCAGCCTGGTATATACTAGAGTTCCAACACTCAGGTTGAGGCAGGAGAAAGAAAATTCTGGGCTATAGAATTAAACCCCATCTATTAAAAAGAAAGCTCCCAGCTCCCTTGAGAGGTCTCTCTCTCTCTCTCTCTCTCTCTCTCTCTCTCTCTCTCTCTCTCTCTCTCTCTCTCTCTCTCTCTCTCTCTCTCTCTCTCTCCCTCTCTGATTTCTTTGATTTGTTACATTTCCAGGTTAGGATACCTAATTATCTAAGTCAACACACTATAAGGTATAGATATTTTTGTCGCTGGAACCCAGATACAAGATGGGATCTTGTGTTGCCCCTGGAGAGATATGGGGGGGCCTTTGTTAGTACTATGGTCTACAGTGCCAGAGGCACAGGGGCGTTAGTCAATGAAAAGTAGAAAGCGGTTGGGTAGCTGAATGAATTAATGGATGAATGAATGGATGAATAAATGAATGAATTGTAGTGAATTGTTAAAAATAACTATTTTAGGTACCTGAGCACCCTCTTAATGCCCTGTCCTTCTCTGGAATGTTCTACCATTTCTCCTCATCCATCTGCCAAAGGTGACCTTCAAACCCTCTATTGTCAGTCAGGGATAGATGACCAAGAATAGGCTAAGACAGAGTCTATAAAGATTGAAAAGTGTTCAAAATTTAGAATGTGGAGAGAGTTTAGAATGTAGTACTTGATCTTTTGACCACATGATATTGAGATAAAATTATTATTTGGGTGAATTTCTGTTTAGTTGTTAACATCAGCCCCATCATCACAAGCGTTAGAGCTATGACCACCACTGCTATCACACCACTACCAGTATCGATATCATTGCCCCAGCGTCATCACGACTACTGTGGCCACCATCATCATTTCCACCATCAATACCACGCCCCTCGCACTGTCTCTACCATCAGCACTATTATCACCAATAGCATCACCACCACCATCATCTTCACAGCTATGGCAATCACTGTCACTACTACCGCTCCCAACACCATTGTCGTCATTATCGATACCTTCATTGTCATCATCATCATCATAATTACTACTAGGACCATCACCTTTATCACCACCATCACCACCACAGCTACCATGACTGTCATTGTCACTATCACCTCATTAATAATCGTTATCATGACTATAGCCATCACCATAGCTACCATCATTACCATCACCACTATCGCTGCCACCACCACCACCACCATCACCATTGCTATAATCATCTCCATCACTATCATCACAATCATTGCCATCACCATCAGCGTTAGTATCTTTTTTTTTCAGCGTTAGTATCTTAATCACTATGGTTATCACCATCTAAAATATCATTATCACCACCATTGTCACTATTGCCACCTCCTTCACTGCTATTTTCGCTACCATAACTATCAACATGTCAGCTGTCATTATCATCATCATTGTCACCATCACCACCACCATCTCCTCCATCACCATCATCACCATCACCAGCCATCATCAGTCACTACCATAGTCACCACCATTGCTTCTATTATCCTCACTGCCATCTAGAGGAGGCTGAAAAATAACGTCTCAGGTGGAAAAGAATCAAATACTTCAGACCCAAGGCCCAGAGCTTGTCAGAGGCGAAGAACAAAGGTTCTTCCCTTCCTTCCAGAGTGGAAAGATGGAAGAGGTGGAGCCAGTGAGGGCTGAAGGAACCAGAATCATGAGCGGTGTCATGGCCACTTCAGTGTTTATTGCTGCTGCTATCCAACAAATTTGGATTTTCTTTCATAGGCAGTCAGGACAGTGTCCTGAAAGCAACAACAATTACTCATTCATTCATTCATTCAACAGGTATGTATCAAGTGCCTCTCTGATTTAAGGAACACAGGCAAACAAACAAACCAAAAAAACCCCAAATCTCACAAAAATCCTAGGAAGCTATTTATGAGTAAATGTCACTCTGCTATTATCAGTAAAAGCGAAAACAGCTTCCAAGCATCTCTCTCTCTCTCTCTCTCTCTCTCTCTCTCTCTCTCTCTCTCTCACTCTCTCTGTGTTTATAGTGTATATATATACGTGCGTTGTCTGTGTGTGCACACGTGCATGAGGGTGTGAGTAGGTGAGTGTGCATGGGTGTGGAAGCTGGGCTTGGTGCTGGTATCTTCCACCATCAGTCTCCACCTTAACTTTTGAGGCAGGTTATCTAATTGCCCTGGAAGCTCATCACCTGGTTCTCATTCTACCTGCAATATGGACTCAGTGGGAGCTCTGGTGCAGATTAACCTCGGGGATAGAGGTGAGACTGTGTGGACACATCCAGCAGGCCCTTCCCAAGGGAGGTCGTGTGGAGACTGCCCTCTCCACAGGATTTTGCTTGAGTATGATTTCTCCAGGAAACCTTTCCAGCCTGCTCAGACGACTGAGGCTCCCTGGATACTGCTGTTACCAGCCTGTATCTCATGGATGAGAACTGACTCTAACACACTTGTGACAGGGGTAGGCTAGAGCCAAGGAAACCCACCCACAAATCACCTGATTCCTCAGTCATGAGGCCTAGCTTCTGCTTTTCTCACTCTATCCTGATGTCCTATCATACTGGATTCCTTCCCTGGACACTCCTCTGTCACAGAGACCCTCACATCATAATCACCGCTGGCCTTTCTGTAACCACCAACCATCACCCCACTCATCATAATTGCCTCAACCCTGTACTATCTCTGACTCTGAGAATATCTGGTCCTACCTAGAGACCCCAGGCCTGGACCCCAGCACAGACTCGGATATCTGAGGCTCTACTCTGCCCCCAGTTCCCAAAGTGAGCCCTTTAGAGCTGACGTCTAAGAACCCAAGCTCACCCAGCCTTGCCAGCCTGTTCTTTCCCCGTGGATTCCGAACGCCACTCTCCCTTCCTTTCAGTCATCACTGGCATGTGAGTCACTGCTACCAGGGCCTGGCTGAGCCTACCCACCTTCTGCTCTGGCATCCAACTCAAACCGCGTGACTGTGGAAGCTACCAGCCTCCCAGGTCTGGCATGCTGAAGGCTGCCATAGTGTGCTGGGTGGAGGCAGCCATGGCTGGGAGGTGAGGAGGGTATAGGGCGGTGATATGGTAATGTGTGTGCAAACACTCAGCTTTCTGGACTCCAGCCTTTTGCAGTCACTGCCCACAAGCAAGCGATTCCATCATCAGAGTTGTCCTGAAATGGTCATTAAAATTCTACATGACAAGGATCACGACAAAAACAAGCAGCCAGCTCAGTGGCCATGGGGTGTTTCAGTCCAAGCCTGCAACTCCAGCACTCTAGGCATCAGAGGTTGAGGTTATCCTGGTCATTCTTGTCTGTAGGCTATCATGGGCTAGCTGAGAACATGCCTCCATATCAGTCCCCTACTTTGAAGGTCACAGAGCCGGGCAGAGAATTACTGGTTTCCTTCCGTCTTTGTTGTAGAGGACACCTCTGATGTGAAGGTACAACAGTGACCTAGATTCTGCCGGGACTTAGATGGCATGCCGGCTGAAAACACACACTTTCAAGGGAGTCTTCAGATACCTACAGATGGGTTGCAAACATGACGCACAAGGGTTGGCTTCCGTCTTCCTGTTGCCTGCCCCCTTTGCTCTCTGACTTCAAGTTGCTTCTGCACGCACCCATGCCGGCTGTTTAAATAGTTTTGCCGGAGATTGTCACACATGGTGAATATGGCCTCTTGTCCACTTGAGCTGTCCTGTGTGTCTCCATCACCCTTGTGCTCTCTCAGCGGCTAAGGCACCTATAGTCCCTCTGCCTCACCATTGGTCTCCTTGTGTAGACCTGGCTGGCCTAGAGCTCACTATGTAGATAAGGCTGGTGTTGAAGTGCTGGGAGATGGGATTAAAGTCTTGCATTACATACCCAGATGCTTTTCTTTTTAAAAAAAAGTTCTCCTGGGCTGGAGAGATGGCTCAGTGTTTAAGATCTTCTCTCTGAGTAATGGTCCTGGGTTCAGTTCCCAGCACCCACAATGGGCAGCTCATAACCACCTGTAACTCCCACTTCATGGAATCAGACGCCACCTTCTGGCCTCCAAAGGCATCTGCACACATGAAGACAGACATATACATAAATAAAAATAAACCAGTATTAAAAAAATCAAAATTCATCCTCAATGTGAATAAATGACTGCTCTTTCATAGCCATTATCTTCTGAAGACTTCCCCCAATTTCTTAAGTGAAGAAATCAAGGTCTTGAGTCACTAGCAGAAGAACACACATCTGGGACAGAGCAGTAGCAGAGCCTATGTGATTCCTGACTCCAGATGAAACTCTCTTCCCCCACCCCTCCCTTCCTCTGTCCTGCATTCTTCCTAAAACCAAAATCCCTCCTCCATGTCTCAAATCCCTGCCACCTTTGGTTTCCTTTCTGATGTAAGTCAGTTGCATCTTAGTTTTCAGGGAGTATAGTTTTTCTTCAAAAGTTTCCTCTACTTTGTCTCAGAGTCTCATGGCAGTCTGTCCCCTGCAGAATGACTGTCTAGTGCCAGCAAATAGAGTTATCTCTGGTCACATCTTCACAGGCAGAGGTGACCTACTTCTCAGTGACAGCTTGGTTTGCTTCTGCCTGTTACCATTGCCTCTGCAGGAGAAAATGTGGAGGAATGAAGTTTTCCTTCACCCCTGGGATGACTGCTTGTAGAGTTTTCCTTCCTTCCTTCTTTCTTTCTTCTTTTTTTGACTGGGGTGAGAGGGTGGAAGATTAAGATAGTGTGTGTGTGTGCACTCACTATGTAACCCAGGATAGCTTCAAATTCACAATCCTCCTGCCTCTGCCCCTCTGAGTGCTGGCTGGGGTCACAGGATGTACCACCACACCCTGCTCAAGAGTCCTCATTCCTGTACAGCTGCTGGCTCTGTCTTCAGGGTCCTTTAGGGGGTGCATAGAGCATTCCTGTGGGATGAGTGCCTCTGATGATTCCTCCTCTGGCCCGAGGCTCACAGAAATAAGCTTTTCCATCCATCTCTTCCTTGCAGCTCAAAAAATAGTCAGGGGTCATCTAGAAGATGGTCAGTGCTGCCTAATTATACACAGACCCCAAACTGGCTTCTTGCTGTTGCCATTGCTATTGCTAGACACAGCATACATCCCATTGATTGGATAGAATGTAATTGTCTCTCCACAGGACTACTGAACACACACACACAAAATTGTTGCAGGAGTATGTGGACAGGATGAAGTGTGTCACTTGGGTAAGTAGAGCTAGCTCACCCTCTCAATCTCATTGTTACTATAATAATTAATTATTATTGCTGTTACTGTGATCATTACTAATTATTTTTAATTTGCTTCCTTCAGATGGGCCATGGCCTTTGACAGGATTGCTAACTATTTGCTGGAGGGGACAAGGAAGGTACTTCAATTATATCGCCCATTAAATAAGTGGAAACGGTGAGACACTAGAGACGTGTGGTGGCCTGGGTGAGGCGGCTCAACACGATCGGCGAAGAGTCAACCGGCTCCGACTGCTGGCCACTCAGTGTCACAGGACAACCCGACCCCCACTGCTTGCCCTTCCAAAGGCCATGAGCACCATGGGTGTCCCCTTGCTGGGAATCTGGCCTAGCTCTGCTCTCCTGGCATTTTCTACCTGGCTCCTTCCCAGCCTTGCTCCCATGGAATTTACGGGTACATGGAATACCTTTTGAGGCCTCAGGGATCCTGTACTTCCTGTGGCTTTGACAAGGACTCTTCTTCCTGCAGTCGCCTTGCTCAGACTTCACACTGACGGGCAGGCACAACCTCCTCAAGAAAAACTCTTGGCTTGCCTAGGCGACCAAGGTATCGCCCCACTGGGGTGTCTGAGGGGTCTGACTGGACCTCAGGCATAGCAACAGTGCCTTTGTTTTCCCGAGTCTGTGATATCCCCGGGGAGGTGGCCTTGAGTTCCTTTGCTTCACCCTACACATGTCAGGTTGACCAACACATTAGATCCCTAATTCATACATCAGCTCTCATTCTGCCACTATGGAAGGAAGGGGGGACAAGAGGTCAGTAGAGGGGGATGATGGGTGGCCTCCTAAGAGGAAAGTGGACTACTGTTGGAATGGAGAGTGGAATGTGGCACTTTCTTGTAACCCCCTGCAGGCTGTACACCCACCAGGATGAGGCTGTAGATGGGACTGGTGCCTGGGGCTTTATAGGCAGTGTGAGGACACTCGGGATTTTTTTCAACGTCTCCCAAACGTTCTCCTCTAAGACTTAAAAAGGATTTTATTTATTTTATTTATGTATAGGAGCTATTTGCCTGTCTGTGTACCATATACCTGTTGACCAGAGTCCAGAAGAGTCCAGAGTTCCCTGGAATGGAAATTCTTGGCAAGTGTGAGCCATTATGTTTGTGCTGGGAATCAAGCTCAGGTCCTCTGCAAGATGAGCAAGTTCTATGAGCCACAGAGCCATGTCTCCATCCTGCCCCCACATTTAATTGTTGAATTTTATATTCTGGAAATCATAGAAGAGTGAATTCTCCTCAGTAGCTGTGCAATAGGTAAAAATATTCAACAGATATCTCTCTAAGTAACCTCAGTCTTCCAATCTGTATAAGGAAGTAATAGCCCCATCCTCATGGAGTGCTAAGAAGTGTGTGTGTGTGTGTGTGTGTGTGTGTGTGTGTGTGTGTATGTATATGTATGTGGGGATGTATGAGTAATGTAAATCTGTGTGTGTCTGGTATTTGTATGTGTTGTGTATGTGTGTGTATGATGTGTATGTGTGTAAATGTATGTGTATATGTATATGTGTGTATGTGCATTTATGTAGAAGAATGTGTGTGTGAATGTGGGGGGATGTGTGTGTGTGTGTGTGTGTGTGTGTGTTCATAATGCTGAACTCCAACTGGTGGTCTTACCTCAAAGTGTAGTGAAATATTAAATTAGTGATATTTTATTTCAGTTTGAACTTTTCTTCCATATTATGATTTCCAAGAATTCTGATCTTACACCCTCTGCTTTTCTCTCATCCTAGAATCTTGTCCTGGCTAGCATGCCAGGTAACACAGGCTTGGGTTGTATTATCCTAAGTGAAAATGACTGACATCAAGACTTCCAAGAGATGGGCTACGCAGGCAAATTAATGCAGCTCCGTGTTACCCAATATCAAGATGGGTAAACCAGGGCAAGGCATAGTTTCCTCAGCCACATGACACGTATGGTCTTCAGTCCCTGGGTCCTAGAATTCAGGCTCAGGATCTCCCAGATCCTGGACTGGGGCCAGCTGAGCTGCAGACTCTCAGCCTACACCTCAGAGGTGGGGCTAGGGTGAGGCAGAGATCTGTGTAAACATCCACTCTTGTCCCCAGAAAGGAATCTAGGGTGGGTGATTTGTCTCAAAAACATCACGGGGATGGAACCACAGATCTGGGCTGGTTCCTGGACAGCAAGATCTCACCTTTGTCTGTGAGGCTCACGGAGTACCAAGTACTTGGACTCTGCATGCCAGGTCCCTTTAATGGCTCTGCAGAGCCCCTGAATGAACCTAGCATAGAGTTCCATTCGCTAGGTGGATGGAAGAGAGCTTGGTCTGGGCTTCTCTGAAGAGTGAGGAACTCCGGGCCTTGTTGCTAAGCAGAAGTAGTTCCCACTGGGCCACCCAGTCACACTGACCATGGGAAGGAAGGGCATAGGCAGGCTGGGCAAGAAGTTAAAGTACTGGAGAACTTCCTAGAAATTAGAAGCCATTGGACAAGAGTAGAAAGGAAAATGTAAGAAGTGGGGAGCAGTGTGGGCTGTGGAGAAGTTGAGAAAGAGGAACTGAGGTAAAGGGGGGCCTGGGGTTCATGGCAAGTGTGTGTGTGTGTGTGTGTGTGTGTGTGTGTGTGTGTGTGTGTGTGTGTGTCTGGCTGGCTGGCTGTTGGTCTGTCATTACGGTCATCTATCCATCCATCTGTCTGTCAGTAGGTTGGTCTGATTGCCTTAAGAGAGTGAACCAAGGACTTAGGCAATCACGTAGACATCTATCATGTGTCCTGCCCATGCCTAGCTCTAGGGCTCAGTCTGGGCAGGAGTCACCTAGGTCAGAGCTGGTCCCCAAAATACTGTGGCCTCACCTGCTCTTCATGGTCCTTCAGAGTCCGTGAGGCAGCAATGGCTTCAGAAGCAGCCCCGCGTCAGATGAAGACCTGGCATCAGCTGAGGACCTGGGTGTAGGAAGCCTGGGTTCTCCTTGGAAAATGGGTCTTCAGCACAGAACTCACACCGAAGGTGAAAGCAGAGTGTGAACTCTGCACATGTGCATCAGCAGGCATGCCTACTGATAAAGCGCGGGAGGCTCTCCTGCTCCACAGAGGCGGGAAGAAGGACAATAGGAGAACAAGAAGGGTAGGATTTCCAGAGAGTTTGCCTCATTCTTCCCCGCCCGCCTGTGTGGACCCCGGAGGGTCTCCTCACTGATGCACCAGGCCTGGCGGGACTGAGAACACAAGCATCCTGTCTTGAGTTCCCCTTTCAGGTGGTCACTTGCTGCTTCTCATGCTTGCTGCAGTGCGTTGGAAACACCACAGAAGCCTGGTCCACCCGCCTTCTCCACAGTGTCTGGCCCGTGTCACATCCTCAGGGAGTTCGCTCCCACTCTTACATCACAAAAAGACTCCCCCCTCCTCTTTTTAGATGGATCTGTTTGAAATCCATTGAATGTGACCTTTTGTGTTTTTGTGTTTGTTTGTTTGGTTTTGGTACAGTTAGGGGTCAAGCTCGGGGTCTCACACCATGTTGGCAAGTACTCTATCACTGAACTATAGGCTCACTCCTCACAGGTGGCATCTAAGCCACTAGTCTACCTGTAAATCACAAGCCTGACCCAATGAGATTTTGTTCATGTATACAGACTACTTCTTACTTTAAAAATTATATTTTACTCCCATTTTAGTTACTAACATATTTTAGTTTAGAAAGACTTTTCAACCCCTTTGCTAAAACTTTGGGATAATCCAGGCTCTTATTGGGTGTTGCTTTTTGAAAAAATATTTTTAATTATGTGTATGTGTTCACATGTCGCACGGACACACATGAGTACCCATACCTACAGATGCCAAAAGAAGCATTGAACCACACTCCCCACCTCCAGAGCTGGAGTGGCAGGCAGCTGTGAGCTAACCAGCATGGATACTGGGAACTGAATCTGGGCTCTTTGCAGGAGAAGTACATGCTCTTAATTTTCTTGTGCCTTCCCTTTAGCTCTGAACGTTTCTTTTAAAAATTCAATTTTTTTTGAAAAAAACATTTATCAATTTTAATCATTTGATTTAAGTCATTAACTGACTCAACTCCTCAGCCGGTCGGTGGTGGCGCACGCCTTTAATCCCAGCACTCAGGAGGCAGAGGCAGGTGGATCTCTGTGAGTTCGAGGCCGGGCTGGACCGATAGCCTCCAAAACAATACAGAGAAACCCTGTCTCGTAAAAACCAAAAAAAACAAAAAACAAAAAAACTGACTCAACTCCTCAACTGGAGTCTCAATCCATGAATCAAGTGACATTTGCAATTAGTTGACTCTTACCTGATGGCTTCCACATGGTTTTATTTGTTCCCCTGTGGCTTGAGGTCAATGGTGTCACCTATACTATGTTCACATTGGTCACTGACTCCATGACTGTCCATCTTGAGTGCCAACTTGTGGTGGTGGGGTCCTGTGGGCAACAAAGACTGGGGTCACCCAAGAAAGTGGAAATTGTGATCTGGGATAGTGGCTGTCCCATTACTAGACTTTTGGGTCCTTTCTAGAGGGACTTGTGGTGACCGCTGCATGTCTTCTTCCTTATGAACCCCACCCCTTCCATGACCCTGGGCATGTGCCTTCAGGTGAAGTGCATAGGACATAGAGGAAGCAAAGGCTTGGCTTGAATGTATTCTACTAAGCAGTTTCCCAAACCACACCTGAGAATCCCCCTTGCCCCATTCCTGCTGGGTTAATCCTTCTGAGTTCTAAGATTATAAGGCCACCACTACAGTTAGCTTATGCAGTCTTGAGGATGGAAACCAGGGCTTAACATTCGCTAGGCAAGAACTCTGCCAACCGAATCACATTCCTTGTACTGCTTTATTTTTATGAGGCAGAGTCTGTCATTAGCACAAAACTTCTTGAATGACTAGGCTGGCTGGCCCAGAAATCTCCAGTGACCTGCTCATCTCTGGCTCCTCAGCTCTAGAGTTATAAGAACACACTGCCATCCCTAACATTTTAAAAACATGAGTTCTAGGGTTTAAACTAAGGACCTCAGGCTTGCAGGCAAGCATGTCACCAACTCTGCCATCTTCTCAGCCCTGGAGTTTTTAATGGTGTCCCTCCCAGATGGCTCCAGGGGCACCAGGGGGAACTTCCTTACAGAGAGGAAAAATTCTCTACCCTGCATGCATATGCATCATGGCCTTACGGGAGAATTTCAGGTTCCATCCCATACCTGCTCAGTCCAGAATCTCCAGAAGGATGTCTGGAGAACAATCCCATCTAAAGCTCCAAGGGCAGCACGTGACCAGAAAAGATGGAGGTCACTGCCTGTGTTGCACATGTGTCAGGTTAGGATCAGAGCTGCTAATTCCACCCTGGTGGGGGCTGCAGTGGTGGAAGCAGACAGAGTTGTTCTAGAGACAGAGTGTAACTAAGAAACTAGAAGGTCAAAGTCTATCATCGTTAGGTCACGCCCTTACTTTGCTGTGGGCTGCAAGACTTCTGAGGAGCTATTTTGGCCCCAAGTTTTAACCCGGAGAACTTCCGCCCACCCCACCTTTGAAACAGTCCTCAGCATTCCAGACGGGCTCAGGTCCCTGCTCTACCCTTTTAGCCTCCCAGAGTCTCTTCTACTCAGTCCTTACAAGCCCGGCTCGTGCCTCTGTGTCCTCCTATGTCCTCATCAGATGAGAGCTTTGGAGTACAGGGTTAGAGTGTTAAATGTTCTGAGAGCCTCTGCGGGGTCTGCCTAGGAAAACCAAGGAGGAGGGGAGAAATTGAGGGTTCTTTGTGATCCCCTCGTCCCTGAACAAGACAGTCCTGTGAGGCCAGTGACTCTGAGCATCAGTGTATAGCAAGGTCAGCAGTTGGACAACCATTTGCATCTTTCTAACCCCTGATGGGTCCAAACTCTTGGGCCATGCTCTATATATGTGGTTGGTATCAGCCTTGAGTCCAGGTCATGACCTTCTAATCAACTGAGGATCCTCCTAATAGAAAAGGTAGATTTTTTCATCTGCTGAGGCCTCAAGAACTATCTAACTTTAGTCACTCCCGGTGCAGCCCAAACCTCAGTGGGCCTTCTCACCTGAGATTCTCCCTGCATGTCTCCTGTGGGAATTGGCCTGGAGCATAGAGAGTGTCTGGAGAAGATGGGCAGGTGTGGCCACGGGACTCACACAGGCCTCACCCTGTCATTAGTGGGCAGGGTTTGCCCCTCCCAAAGCCATAGTACAGATGCAGATTCTGGGTCAGCACCACCTCAACAGTTCTGTCTCCACCTCTGCAGCCGCTGCCAAGATGGGACCACCAGCCCCGGTCACAGCCTGTTCTCTGCCCAACACATCTGCAGCATGAGCAGAGGCCCCGTCGTTTCAGATTTCATGCTGCACCTGATGACAACACATATCCCCAGACGACAATCCTAGCTTTCTGGGGGGGGGTGTGGCTCGGGCATCTTTCTGGTGCTGAGGACTGAGAGTCCCGCATTCCCTGGTACCCACAGCCTCAATGGCCAGAGTCGTGACCACATGAGTTCACAGCTGAACAGTTTCTCAAGAACTACCTTCCTGAATTAGCACCTGCTCAGCACAGCCTTGGAGATGAGAGCTGCATCTTTCAGGGTCACGGTAGTTAACTGGAAATCATCACTTTGTGGGAAAGGAATACCCAGATAGATTCTGCCACCTATGGCGGCTCATTAGCAGAACTAGAAATTAACCCATGGGCCCATTGCTCTTCCGAACCAGGGCCGTTGGTTTTGGGAGGTGCTGGCATCATCCACATGACTTTGTGGAAGTGAGAAAAGTGGAAAGAAGAATTTCATTTTGCTTTAAGCATTTAGAATTTAACTCCCAATGAGTCTATGATCTGGGAAACCCAGAAGAGCAAACAAAGGAAAAAAAAACCCTAGCATAAGCCTCAACATATATGTGATAGAAGCTTCCGGAGTCACTTTCTTGAGTGACTCCAGACTTTGGCACACGTTTTTGTGTTAGTTATTTGTCTCATTGCTGTGGCAGGATACCTAACAAAAGCAACTAAAGGAAGGAAGTGCTTGTCTTGGCTCGCAGTTTGAGAGCACAGTCCACAGCGGTGGAGAAGTCATGGCAGCAGAAGGTGGCTGGTCACACAAGCAGAAGGAAGAACAATGGCACTTAGCTCAGTTTCCCCTTTTTATCCCATCTAGGAACCCTATTCACTAAAGGCTGCCGCCCACATTTAGGGTGAGTGTTCTCATCTGAGTTAATCTAATACAAATACCCTACACAGATTCATTTCATTATGACTTTAAGTCCCCTCAAGTCGACAGTCAAGACCAACCATCGAGGTGTCTGATTCCTGTTACCCCAACAGGAATGATGCATGTGGTTATCTGCTCATCCAAACTCAGACCACTCCTCCAAAAGATCTTCATGGATCAGAGTTGACTGCCAGCATGGAAAATAGCAAAGTAAAAACTGTGAAGGCAAAGGAATGAGCCCCCTAGCCACAAGGCTCTCAGCCTTTACGGTGGAGGACAAAGGTGACTTGGGGGTTGACTCTTCAATGTCAATACCAAAGGCAGATCCACCTGTTGACTCGCCCAATCTCCGGACAGCAATTGGGAAACTAAAACGTTGCAAAAGATATGAGTGGTCGGCGTTAAGGTAGCTCCCGCCCAGTGGGCGTGGCCTGCACATATCACACTGTGGCTAAGCTCCCGAGATGAGGAGCATCCTTCAGAGGAAGTGGTGTGGCCACTGCTCCTGGAAGCCCATCGACTGACCCACGGCCAGCTGCTTCAACTGGTCACATTCTGCCTCTTCAAGGGGGCCCTGGAGGTATAAATAATAAAGCAAGCCAGGCAGGTGCCTTTGGCCCTGTGGATGTCGCCTGGATGCACTGTGAGTATGCAACTCCTGGAAAGATTGGAAACATAGTCCATTCCTTATGAGGCTGATTCCAGGGGTGAGAGACTGAAGGATTACTCTGTAGCCCATGTGTATGGAAGAAAATTCTAGAGGATTTCTAATGTGTGTAAAAGAAGCCCTGGAGGCATGCTGGGCAGGTACAGTGGAAGCTGATTCATTTTCATTAATATATACTTCTGAGAATTTTCTAGAAGAAAACTGGTTGGGATGGGGTGGGGTGGGGGTGAGATCTTCAGAAGTAAGGCAGCCCCCTTACCTAGAGTCCACCTTGCCCTCTGACTGGTCTTGGTGGCTCTGTTTGCACCCAGCTAAGGAGCTAAGGAGTTCCAGAAAAAAATGAAGCATGCTGCCTACTTGCCTGCTTAGCTCTCTCTCTCTCTCTCTCTCTCTCTCTCTCTCTCTCTCTCTCTCTCTCTCTCTCTCTCTCTCTCTCTCTCTCTCTCTCAGTATTAATATGTAGCCCAGGCTGGCATAGAACTGCCTATCCTCCTCCTTGCCTCCTGAATGTTGGGATTACAGGAGTATAGTTTCACACTCAGCACTCAAAAAATATGTATTAAAAGAATGAAAACAAAATTCTACAGGATAAATAAATAAGTGGAGCCATTCAGTCTCTGTTCCCCAGGAAGGACTAAGCACATTGCAGTGGGTATTAGAGCTCTCTTGTAGGTCTTCTCTCTGGCAGCTGGAAAAGACTCTCTTTCCATTTAGTTCTAAACTTGCTTTGAAAAAATGATAATTTCATTGCTAATGCCTCTAGTTAAGTTTATCTCAAAACAGTATCAGTGGGCACTAGAGCGTGTCCAGGGCGTCTTAATGGTACCAAAGATGGGGCACTTTGGTGCATCTTTGAATCTCTCTGCTCTGGGGAGAGCACTGGACAGACCCAAGTGCTGCAGACCGAGAAACTCCAGGAAGGGTCCGGAACAGCTGGGTTCTCAGAAGGTGCAGGGTCCACTGGATATGGAAAAAAGGGTGCTTGGTGTAGGCAGCCATCATGGGATGCCTCCCCAGAGCAGAGGACTCTGCGGTTACTTAAAGCACAAGATACCATGGGTGAGAACTTGTCAGAAGAAGCCACACTAGTGGGTCTCTGATTGGAGGAGGGCTAGCAGGCCAGCTACCTTCATCAACAGATGACACAGTGTCGGGAGAGAGTGGTTCCAAAGTGAGTGCTTCCAAGTCTCTTCCCTGAGTATGTAGGCAGTCTATAGCCCACATGTTCTGGTTATGACCGGCTTCTCTAACCACCTGCTATTAACCAGGAAGCCATTTGCAAAACCATCAGTACCACAGTTGGCCCCCATACCCACAGGCTTCACACCCACAGATCTGACCAACCGTGGGCCAACAAATGTTTGCAGACAGCGTTTGCACCAGCAGTGAATATGCAGACTTGTATTTTTCTCTTGTTGTGCTGCTTAAAGCAGCCTGTGTGGCGATAGTTGCCAGAGAATAGGCACTGTGTAGGAATTGCCGGCAATGTGGAGACCTGAAGTATGCAGGGGGGGGGGTGTGGAGGCTGCAGGCGGCACCATAACATTTTATACACAGGAACCGAGTCCACCCGGATACTAAGAAAAGGGAGGGTTATACATTCATTTATGCACATACATGTGCAAACACACTCCCAGTGCAGCTCAGGCTGGCCTCGCACTTGCGGTTCCTTGGATCGCAGCTTTCCAAGTGTTAGGATTAAAGGTGTGCATCACCAGGGAAAAATTACTATGCCCACCATTGCATTTCCTTGTGACTTTTTCAATGTGGGAGGAGGTAGAGACGGTGCCCATGGCTGAGCCTGAGAGCCCTCCAGCAAGGACTGGACACATTCAGGTTTGAAGTCAGTGGTGTAACTTGCCCCAGCGGTTTCTCCGTGACTGGGGAATCAGTGGGAGGTAAATTTATTCATAGGAAGAAACAAGTGATTTCCCAAATAATGTGGGATGTGAATGATCAGCAAATTGAAATATTGTCAGTTTTTCCTGTCTTTTTTGTGTCCCACAGCCTTCAATGTCTGACTTCTTTTTCTGGCTTTTATTTATATACTTGTGGTTTATTTTGAGTAACACACATTCATATAAACACAGACACAGAGAGGACCTTATACACATTCCAGACTACAACCCAACAAATTGTTACTCAACTCAAGAGAGCTGGCCCATCAATTTATTGGGAAATAACCAGTTGCCCCACTATTTTAATTGCCAGAATAAAAAAAAATAGCCTACTTAGGCATCTCACCCATCTGACAAATTTGGGTCAGTTTAGGGCCTGTGGAGATGGATGGAAAACATGGAACTAGTGTGGGTTGCTTTGGAGCAAAAGGTCAAAGGCGGGGCTGGGCAGGGAAGGACAGGAGGCCTAAGGGGATCACAGTGGCAGTGTCACAGGCTTGCAGAGGTAGGAGGTGTGGTCAGTGTGTGGCTGTGTCCAGAGAGGTGGAGCAGCTGTTGGTCAATAGCATCTTGTGGGGAAGATGCTCCTACACCAGCGCTGTTCAACACATGAGGATGCTGTGATCCAAGAGTTAACAGAACACATGGGTGGGAAAGGGAGGTCCACATCGAGGTGTTTGATTCTCTTACTAGCCCTCACTGCTGGAACCTGGCACCACAGACAGCCTTTCAGGGCCTCGCAGTGGGGCTCCTCAGAGAGCCTGGCTGAGAGAGGGTCTTCAGGGAGTGCTTCTGGGGTAGAGTATCTAGCCAGCAGTTGCCTTCCTGGGCTGGCTCGGGCCTCTGTCCTGCCTGCTCTGACTCACACCCAGCTCCTGCCAGTTCGCCCATGGCCCTGACTACCAAGGTGGCTGGCAGAACCTCTCTTGAGAACTTTTTTGTCAGCTGTGTGAGTGATGTGACATGTCTTAACTTTTCCACTTGTTGGCATTGGGAAATGACACAGGGTGGCAATCTGCTTTGAGTAATACAGGCCTCTGTTTTAATCCCGGGTACCTGAGTCAACAGCCCAGCCCGTGGAATCCTGAGTTCTAGTCTTATTGCCTTTTTCTGATTTTTTTCTGTTTTTTTTTCCTTTCTTCCTTTTTATCTGGCTGTTCTGGAACTCTCTTTGTATATTAGACTAGCCCCAAACTCAGAGATCGATCTTCCAAGTCCTGGGATTAAAGGCATGTGCCACCACCTCCCAGATGAGTCCTATTTTCTTTAATTTCTCGAAAGCATCTTTAAGGAATCTATCATTTCCCTCCCATAATCTATTTCTACCCAGCCCTTCACTAAAAGCAAATTAATTTTAATCATTACCAGATGGGATTCTTGGGAGTTTAAGGTGTTTAAAGAAACCCAGTCTCATAGAAACAGGACACCACCAAAACACATCAGAAAACAGTGCTGAGGTTCACTCTTGGTGGACCACTGGAGTCACAGGCCAGTACAGTCACACTCTCTGTGCGTGCCCTGACTGGTTCAGGACTATCTCCTAAGCCAATCACAGCAGGTGAGCTGAGATTGCCTCCATTGGATTCTCCCTAGGAGTTCACACAGAAACCTGGTCCCTGGGGTGCATGCAGTCCTCCAGAGAGGGAATGGCAACTAAAACAAGAACGGGTACTTGAATAACCCATCAGCTATGTTTCTTGTTGCTATGACAAAATTCCGGCTAGAAGGAAAGGCTTATTTTGGCTCGCAGCTTCAGTCCATCATGGAGGCAAAGGCTCTGGGGATTTCACGGTCACGGTGGAGGCTCCTTGGATCTTGTGGGATAAGAAATAAAGAGTAGCTGGGCGTGGTGGTGCATGACTTTAATTTAGCACTGGGAAGGCAGAGGCACATGGATCTCTGAGTTCAAGACCAGCTTGGTCTACAAAGTGAGTTCCAGGATAGCCAGGGCTGTGCAGAGAAAACTTGTCTCAAAAGAAAAAGAAGAAGAAGGAGAAGGAGAAAGAAAGGAGAACACAAGCAGAGTATGGGGTTGAAGGCCCACCCACTAGAGGTCACAACAAGCCCAAGGTTACAAAACACACAAACTCCCCAAACAGGGTCACCGACTGAGGACAAATCATGAGCCCAAGGGGAACATTCCAAATTCAAGACATAACAGAAAGTGCTTACTAGAATTTTTCAATACTGTGCCACAGACTCTCCAAGAGTCTTATTGTGGTGCTGAAGGCTACATCTGCAATGCCTCCTCTATAGGAAGCCCTGGGGGCTGGGGAACTCTGGGTACATGTACTATGCCAGCATCTGTCACCTGGAAGATCACCTGGTGTCAGGTTGTAGGACCCAGTTGCAGCAGCGCCACTATGAAGGTCACAACTCCTCTTTCTCACTGGAAAAATCTCTGCTGGATGGAAGGAACCAACTATCTCAGGAAGTTGTAAGTCACATCCTGAATCCTGGGGACAGATCACAGCTACCCTTTGTCTAATTCTGCCCAAAGTGTCAGAACCTCTTAAGATCCTGCTTTGGAAGCCAGGTGTTGGTGGCGCACGCCTTTAATACCAGCACTGGGGAGGCAGAGGCAGGTGGATCTCTGTGAGTTCGAGGCCAGCCTAGTCTACACAGTGAGTTCCAGGACAGCCTCCAAAACAATACAGAGAAACCAGTCTCAAAAACAAAAACAAACAAACAAAAAGATCCTGCTTTGGGACCAGACCAAGGTCGGCTAGCACCTGGATAGCATCTTTGTTCTGTCCCCTCCTATCATCCTGGCTCTCTTACTTCCCCACAGGCTTTCTCTAAGACAGCTCTCATCCTGCCTCCAGCTCCAATGTAGGGACCCATCTTATGCCACCAGGGATAGCCTTTATTGTTGATGGGTTTACTATTTCCCATGGGCCCTGGACTCCAGAAACTGGAACTAGGGGAAACTGTAAATGGAGTTCTAATTTGTGTAAATAATAAAAACCTGGAGTCAGATATAGAGGAAAATACTGAGAGTTCAGAGAGAAGAAGGAGCAAGCCAAATCCACCTTTACCTCATTAGCTTCCCAGTAGAAAAGAGAGTTCCTGTTTCCTTCTGCCTATCTCACTTCCTGTCTCTGCCCAGCCATCTCATTTCCTGTCTGTCTGTACAGACCTCCAGATTTCTATGGTTAGCTAGTGGCAAGTTCCACCCTCTGATCTTCAGACAGGCTTTATTTGTACAAGCAAGATATCACCACAGGAAGCATTGTGGCACATCAGAGATTCACCCAGAGGCCTGCGTTTTACTTTGCATAAATCATTGAAAACTTGGCTAGAGAAAACAAATGTTCTGGAACGCCACAGTTTAGACAGCTCTGTGGAGCCATGAGTCTAGAAATGAGAGGGAAACAGGGAGGGAAATTATTTACCCTGAAAGTTCACAGGAGGATGCACGGCCTGAGGGGTCAGGGAAAGGAGAAGCAGGCCTTAAGTCAGACAGGTTTAGCTTTTGTCTTCATTGACACTGCCCCTTCTCCTTTCCTGGAAATGATAAAGGGAGGGATTACTGAAGACCTGGCTTCTTTTCTGAAGGGCACTCATTCCCCTTCATGCCTTGGGGTCCTCTACAGGGAGATGGATTCCTGAGAATCAGGCAAGAAAACCAAAGCTAGCTTAAGCCAGCCAACCTCCAAATGGAAATCTATTGTCTTGGTTTGAAAGAAATGGAGGCAGCTAGATACCAGGTTGATTCAGGGATTCAAGATGTCATTAGATGTGACTCTCATTTCTTTTTCCACCATTATTTCTCTTCTCTCTGTCCACCTGTGGGAGATAGTGGCCAGGTTCAGGTTTTGGGGTTATGTCATTAAAACAATCACTTTTAAGAGGACTCTGTGTCCCCCAGGAAAATCACTGAGTGACCTGAGTTGAGTCCCACTCTCACTCATGGAACAGTTGTAGCAACAGTATAAAGTGGCACACTGTCAGTCACAAGACCATGCTTCAGCGTATTGTCATTATGAAGGGTAGAATGTCCTAAAACACTTTGAGACATTGCTATCTTAAGACAAAGGAGGATCTGGGAAGATGGCTTAGTGGGTAAATCACTTGCCTTGCAAGCATGAGGAGCTGAGTTTGAACCCTCAGAACCCACATAAAGCCGGGGGCCATAGCAAATACTTTTAATCTCAGTGCTCCTATGGCAAAATGTCAGATGGAAATGGGACTGTCCCCAGAAGCTTCTGGACCAACTAGCAGTAAGCAACAAGAGATCTTGGCGGAAAGCAGGGATTGACACCGAGAGTTGTCCTCTGCTATCTACATATCTACCATGGGACATATGTGCCCACACTCACACACATAAATTCTCTCTCTCTCTCTCTCTCTCTCTCTCTCTCTCTCTCTCTCTCTCTCTCTCACACACACACACACACACACACACATACCTGTGCACATGTTCATATGTATCATATATACATTCACATACACAAAGATAAGAGAGAAGTACTCAAAAGCAAGAGTGGTGGGTTAGCGAGATGGCTTAGTCAATAAAGGCACTTGCTGTCAAGCTCGATGACTTGAGTTTGAGCACTGGGACCACATGGTGGAAGGAGGGAACCAATCCCCGTAAGTTGTCCTTTGATCTTCACACATGTGTTGTGGTGTGCGCATGTGTCTGTATACACACACATTCACGTATGTGCAAGAACGCTTAGAACAATAAGCAAACATATGCAAAAAAATGTAAATGGGAATGGTGTTCTATGCTCAGACCTCTCACTTAGGACACGAGGACAACAGTTTCTAGTCCCTGGGGAGATGACAAAGATTAGAAGCTATCAAGGATCTCAAAGCACGCAACGATGGTGTTCAGTAGCCCACAGCCATTGTCTTCTCCCCCTGGTCTTCCCGGTGGATAAGACAGGAGCCATAGGGTTCTCTTCTCACATGTTATGCTCACATCTACTGCTCAACAGGATAATCTCCAAGGACAATGAACCTCGTGCTGGGCCTGGGCCTGTTTCTGGCAGGTCTTCTCACTGTGAAAGGTCTCCTGCAGGCAGATGATTCTCTAGAAACCTATGGGACTCCACTCAAGCTCCAAGAGTGGAAGGGCAAGAAAGATGCCCGAACACTTGGTCGACGCAACATGGAATTTGGCTTTAAGCTACTCCAGAAACTGGCTGCCAACAGCCCTCATCAGAACATCTTCTTCTCTCCATTGAGCATGTCTACTGCCTTCTCCATGCTGTCTCTGGGGGCCCAGAACTCCACACTGAAGGAAATCAAGGAAGGCTTCAACTTCAAGGAGATGCCAGAAAGGGACGTACACTTGGGTTTCTACTACCTTCTCCACAAGCTCAACCAAGAGACACAGGATGTAAAGATGAACCTAGGCAATGCCCTGTTCATGGACCAGAAGCTGAGGCCCCAGAAGAGGTTCCTGAAACTGGCTAAGTCGGTGTATGATGCGGACATGGTGCTCACTAACTTCCAGGACTTGGAAAGTGCTCAGAGGGAAATCAACAAGTACATCAGTCAGAAAACTCACAACCTAATCAACAACCTGGTCAAAAGCATAGACCCAGGCACGGTGATGCTTCTTGCAAACTATATTTACTTTCGAGGTAAGGCTATGGGTATGCCAGTGTGGAGAAGGTGGAGGGACTTGGGTTAGAAAATCGACCCTGTCCTTTGCTCTATTATGAGTCTGAGCCTCTTTGTCAGGAAGATCCAGGACTCTGCCCCTCTGGCTCTAAACTGAACACCAAGATACATAACCCACCAAGAAGTTACTGGGATTCAGAGCAGAAATGATGGGGAAGGGAGCTTTGCAGTCCAGATTATTCCCTGTGCGTTTTTATTGTGCCTGGTCGTCCTCCCAAGTTTTGGTTTAGAAGTTGGAGTCTCTGCTTCTTAGGTGAGAGAGGAGAGAGAGATAGAGATAGAGAGAGAGAGAGAGAGAGAGAGAGAGAGAGAGAGAGAGAGAGAGAGAGAGAGATCCAGGCACATTGGTACATATCTACAACCCTAACCTCTGGAATAGTGAAACAGAGGCAAGAGACAAGAGCTCTTTGGCATCTACATACACACACACACACCAGTAATAATCACTAGATAAAAGGGGAGGATTCAGACAGAGTTCTGCAGCAAGGTCCCACAGCTCTCTGTCCCTGTGGTTTTTCTCACCCCTACATGAGGTTGGCTTCCCTCTCACAAAGTCAAACAACCCCCAGAACTGCAATCCAGGCTCTGTTCAGACACAGCCTCAGGGTCCTCAGACCTTAGGGTAATGTGCTGTGCCTCCTGCAGTCATGCAACACTGGTACCAGGCTCTTTTAATTGGTTCCCTGGGCCTGTGTCCAACCCACAGAGGCCGTGCAGGCATGGAGGAGAAGGACTTCATGAGCCCTTCCCTGACATCCCATCACTTCCCTCTGAACCCGTGTGGACGGTGGTCAAGGACCAGTTAGGTCTGCTCCCCTCCTTTTCTTCTGGACACTTACGCCATTTTGTCTGTCTTCAATCCTAAGCCAGGTGGCAGTATGAATTCGATCCAAAACAAACCAGAGAAGAAGAGTTCTTCGTAGATAAAGGCAAGGCTGTGAAGGTACCCATGATGTTCCGAGGGGGCATGTATGACATGGCCTATGACAGCCAGCTCTCCTGCACCATCCTGGAAATGCCCTACCGAGGAAACATCACGGCCACCTTCATCCTTCCCGACAAGGGCAAAATGAAGCAAGTAGAGCAGGGATTGCAGGTGGACATTTTTGCCAAATGGAAAAGCCTGCTCTCAAAAAGGTAAAGCCAGAGCCTGGCCCATAGACATTCTTGCTTCTTCTTCTCTTACCTCCATCTCTCTTCATTTTTCTACCCTTAGTGCACAGCCACGCCCTCGCTAGGACTCGGTGAAGATGGGCAGGGGACTGGGGATGCATCTAGGAGCTGGTGAGACTCTGGCTCTTCAAGGTCCACGCACTGAAGCTGTACGAGTGTGGGGTAACGAGTCCTGCTGGAGGGTGGCAGTCAGGGAGAGCCTCGCAGAGGAGGCGGCCTTTGAGGTACAGCTTCAAGGCCAAGGGAAGAAAGAGGAGTGATGGGATCTTGCACAAGGGGAACTCCAAGGATGGACTCTTGGGGTATCAAGGGACAAGGAGACACTCTCAGTAGAGATGCATCTATCCCCCAGCCCTTCTGGGCCTGGAGTAGCCAACAGCAGTTATGTCCCTCTCTTCTGTTGAAGGCTTCCATCTCTTTCCAGGGTAGTGGACTTTCCCATGTCTACTAAAGGGAACATTTCATTTTTTTCAGGACACACACAATGGGCCAATGTTCCCACTCTTCAGGCTCATTTGGTCTAGAAGGTTGACATGAAGTTATTTTGAATAGGGAGTCAAGACTAGAAATCTTCATCTTCCTTTATTGAGCAATGGAGGAGGAGGAAAGAGAAGAGGAGAAGGAGGAGGAGGAGGAGGAGGAGGAGGAGGAGGAGGAGGAGACTGGCTCTTCATTCTGCAGCCACTCCCCACCATGGAAGGCCCAGGAGAGGTTGAAGGGCTACACCCTTTTCTAAGAGAAGGGACCACATCAACAGGCGCATGCCTAACCTCTCCCACCAACACTCCTGATTTCCAAGAGTATAGAACACATCTGGAATTCAGGTTCCAGCACTCTCCAACCTGGCTTGCACACTGAAGGCAGCCTTCACAGAGTTTGAAGCCTGCTGTTGCAGACTTCCAGAGCAAAGCTCAGGTTTTCCTCAGAGGAAACAGAAAGCTGCCAGGGTTTTTTAAACAATTACCTCCCCATCAATCAACTTCAAGAGTTCTCCACCTTCCTATCAGTCAGCTTCAAGGGTCCCCTAACTCCCATCAGTCGTCAGCATCAACAGTTTGTTGTGCCAGGATCTCGTGTAACCCAGGCTGGCCTGGAACTCCCCCTGTATCCAAGGATGACCTTGAACTTCTGCCCCTGCACCTCCACCTTCTGAGTGCTGGGATGACAGACACGCGTCACACACTTGGCTTAGACACGTGTCTTTCTGAGCCTGGCTTCTTTCTCTTAACGTGACCTCCAGTTGCATCCCTCTTCCTGCAAACATGATGCTTTCATTCCCACAGCCTGGCAAAAACTCCACTGTGCGTGTAAGTGCCCCGTTTTCTTTATCCGATCTCTGGCTGATGGGCCCTGTGCTTTTTGCCTTGTCATGGACAAGCACGGAAGTCGTCTTGGCATATTTTTACAGTCTCCATATTTGCACACCGATCCTGTGTCCTTTCCCTCCTCAGGGATGTCACTCCAGAACTTTGCTCCTAGCCTCTAGGCATCAGCTAATGCCCATGCTTTCTTCGGAGTCACTACCAGTGAACAGAAGGACACTGTTACACTCCCTGCAGTCCAGTCACCCTCGTGGGGGCTAGGATAACTGACAGCACACAGTAGTGACTTCTCCACAGCAAACACGAGGCCTATGTGCGCCCTCCTCATCCCCGCCCCACCCCCATGCTGGTAGGCCTAGTCCTTGTGCCGGCCTGAGGGAAACCCCTGATGCTATTAACCCTTCCCAGGGGCTCTGCTCACTACTCAAGTCCCTTGGTTCCCTCTCCTGTGAGTGCCTGAAGCACCCACCTGTATGGCCCTCCCCCTCCCCCTCCTTAGCCTCACTTGACCAGGTGTTTGTACTCTGCTCAGAGACCAGGATGACTAAGGGGGCCGTGTTGCAGAGTCCAGGGTCAGCAGCTGGGCGTTTCTTTCTCACTGGCCAGCCACACCCTCTCCTCCCAGGCTATCCCCATGTGACACAGCTCTGCTTGCCACTTCCCTTTCCTGACTCCCCTCCCCCACCCCTACCATAGAGCCCAATGCCACGGGGCTCAGCCTCCAAGCTCTTTGCTGTCTAGTTTTACACCCTGGTGACCTCCACAGGCACAGAGCCTTCTACACTATGTCAACCATGACACTATCCTTATCCTCAGAACCCTTTTCCTTTTGACTTACCCAGAAGGTCCCTGGACATCTAAGGTCTCCATGTGCTCAGAAAGACCTATTCACAGCTGCTCAGGCCCACCTGTCTCCAGGGCAACTCCACGGTTCATTAACTCAAGCATGACCCAATGGGTCAAGGTTGGCCAGTTTCTCCTGCATGTGTTAGGAAGCTCCATTACCCCCTCATGGGAGCAAATTGGGACTTGGCCCCTTCCCTCCATCTCTGAGGCTCCCATACAACCTGCCTGTCAATGGTCTATCACCTATCAACCATGCCTGTCCTCAGCATCGAACACCAAGAGCGTATTGTAAGCAAAACAGCAGAGCCATCCTTTCCAATTTTAATCAAGACCATGGCACATTTCTGCCGAAAATCCTGCCATGGTTCCCTGTTGATTGAAGGAGAAAATCCAGTTTGCCCTACTCCACTTCAGGTTGGCCCGAACATCTCTGAGTCCCAGAATTCCCTATTCCCACAAATTGATCTGTTTTCTCCTTTTCCTTCATACTTAGTGCCTCTTCACTACCAATATTTGTGAATGCCCACACTATGCCTTCGTTAGTGTTGATTTCATTGTCCATCTCCCCTGCTGGAACACAGGGCAAGGGCAAGGGCAAGGGCAAGGGCTTTGCCTGTCCTGCTCATCACACATAGTAGGTGCTTAAAAACTATTTGTTGAGCAAAAAAGCAAGTGGAAAAGTAAATTTGGGGATTATCAGGCCAAGTATGAAGTTTGAGACCTGGTGAGATCCCGTAGCGAGTGAGAAGTAAAGGTGGAGAGGGCCCAGGTCACAGGTGCAGTCCTCCTCAGGTGCATGGCTCAGAAGACCAAGATCCTTTGCCCCAGCTACGCGACTTCTAAAAGCAGGGTGGACTTGAACTCAGGTCTGACTGGCTCCAGGTTTTAGGATTGCTGTCTCCAGCAGCAGGCTGGCAGGGGTCTAAACTGACTCAGGGTGCAGCAGAGGCAGCTCTTGCTACAGAGAGAGCATGGGTAAGGAGCTTGGGCAATGTTTCCAGTGGGTGAGTGCTCTGGAGCAGGCTGGGCAGGAAGCAGGAATGTCAGTGAGTTTGAGATGTCTGGAGTCCCAGACTTGAGCCTTTCTCATTCCAAGGCCAGAAAGACCCCTGAGCCTCAATGCTGAGAGGATAAAGGTCTCATTGTTCTCAGGAGCCCACCATGAACAGTTATAGAGTCCTTCCATTCACCCTTTCCTTCTCTTCTCCACAGAGTGGTAGATATTTGGATGCCCAGGCTCCATATCTCTTCAACTTACAACATGAAGAAGCTTCTCTCCCGCCTGGGCATCAGCAAAATCTTTGAGGAAAATGGTGACCTCACGAGGATCTCATCTCATCGCAGCCTGAAAGTGGGAGAGGTAAGCTACCTGGCCAGACCACTGTCCCCTCCTACACAGGAGTCCCCATTCGGCCTCAGCCCTGTGGTCCCAGGTAGACCACGCCTCAGTCTCTGATTCTAGAACTCTAAAGTCAGAATGGTCACTCACGCGGTCTGTACTGGAAGCCAGTTCAATGTCCTGCATAGGGAACAAGTGCTGGGACATTTATCAGACCCATACCCAGTCTGAGGTTGGCCCCAACCTTGTCTTGAGGGTTTCACAGGAGAAGGAAGGAGGAACGTGCACCATAGAGACAGACAGGAAGAAGGTATGGTCTGAAGCAAGGTTGCAATCTGCTTATCAGGACAGGGGAAGAGGACAGTGTATCTGGGGTCTTCAGACTTAGTAGGCACAACACAAGACTCTCAGTTGGATTTGAATTTCAGGGACATAATATATAGTTGTTTTGTAGCATAAGTGTGTCTAGAGCACAGCATGGGGGGAATACTCACACTTGAACATAACCATTGCTTATCACGAATGACAATCTAACTAGATATTTTATATTCTTAGCCACCCAGTTTTGGGGTTAAAGAGCATAGAAGGGCAAGATTTTAGAAATGGGGTGTATTAGTTATGTTTCTGTAAATGGCCAAAAGAAACTTACAGAGGAGTTTATTTTGGTCTGTGGTTCCAGAGGGACAGTCCTGAAAAGGGAAGGCCCAATAGCAGACAGCCAGAGCAGAAAGTTAGCCAATCACATCTCATCTACATACAGGGGGTACAGAGTGAGAACAGGAAGTGGGGTGGGACTCTGAACCCTCAAAGTCCACCCCTAGACAGCATGCTTCATCCCGCAAGGCTGAACACGGACCCTTCCAGATAGAGTCACCAATGGGGACCAAGGGTTCAGATATGTGAGCCTATGAGGACATTTCTCATTCTAACCACACTCGTGAGGTGTGCCCATCTGAGGGAGGGGTGTGGCCAGTGTGGGAGGCTGGGGAATTGGCTGGTGCTAAGTGTTGTAAAGGGAGGCAAGTCAAGTCACCCTGGGAGGGAACTGTGGTAGGGGATTATGGGAGGAATCCTGCCCTCTGAACAGGATCACACAGGTGCTCAGCTACCTGCCAGGTGGAGCTAGGATTTCACAGCCTCCTCACTGTGGGTGAGCCCCCTGAAATTCAGGGAAAACAGCAAGCCCATTGCACCCCCATCCCCTCGCTTCCATGGTAACACCATCCTCTCGACTATGCTGGGCAACTGTGGCTAAGTTGTCTCCCTCTCCGGGCTCCCCACGTTTGGCCTGCTATGGCCCCGGAGAAGATCGGCAGCCACTGACTGTCTCTTGGCTCAACAGGCTGTGCACAAGGCTGAGCTGAAGATGGACGAGAAGGGCATGGAAGGGGCCGCGAGCTCCGGAGCCCAGACGCTGCCCATGGAGACCCCCCAGAGGTTCAAGCTAAACAGCCCCTTCCTGATGATGCTGTATGAGAAGTCCCTGCCTTCCATGCTCTTCTTGGCCAGGGTTTATGACCCTAGTGGGAAATAAACGGGAATTCTCTGTTGGCTTCAGACCTCACCCATTTCCTAGGGCTGGAAGCACTGCACCCCTTGACATGGAGGCGGCCACGGGTTCACTGTAACGCCACCCTCCAGACTCACCATGTTATACTGCCACCTGAACCAGCAGCCCAGCTGGCTCTCAGGGCCTTGAACGCCGTATCCACTTTAAGCCCGTCCCTAACCATCAACACCCCTGGACTAAATGCCAGCCCCTACCCCAGTATGCCCTCACTTTTTCCCCCACCAGGCAGGGAACATCTGTTATTTAATAAACTCCACCTCCTCGCACGCATGTGCTAGCTGCCAGGTAGATACTTCATGGAGGGTGGGGGCCACAGAAAGTAACCAGAGTTTGAGTGAGATTCGTGGGCTTGCATCTGAGAAGAAGGTGTCACTAGGGAAGCCCCACGTCTTGTCTGGGAGCCTCTGCTTACCCCTTTGAAGTGAAGATTGTGCTAATCCTTTCTAAGGAAGGCTTTGAGAAGATCAGTACCAATCCCTAGCAGAATTCATTCTCCGTTGTGAGTCCCAGGCTGGGAACTCTGACACATGCGCTACATGGCCTTCCTCCCGGGTGTCCTGATGGGGCTGCTAACCGAGTCAGACCTCCAGGAGCACAGTGGAAGTGGCCCAGACCCTTCTGCAGCATTAGGAGAAGGCTGCCTTAGGAAGAAGCTGAGAGTCACTGCCAGCTTTGTTGATTGATCTCTTTCAGGCGCCGGAGGAGGACTGTGGAGCTCCTCAGGCCGGCGACCAAAGGCAGATTCCACTATTGAACCTTTGGGAAACTAGGGTCTCTACCCATCTCAGAAAACTGGCCCTGCAGGATCTACTTGTGGCCACTAGGGGGCAGCAAGGGCTAGCCCAATAATGTCAGACCGGGCAGCAGAAAGATGCCGTTTTTCTCTGGCGATAATGGCCTTCACTTGCTGCGCTGCATGAGGGGCGTTCAGGCTTGGTACCCATGAAGCAGCAATTGCCACTTCTTGCCTGGAAGTTTTCTGAACACTGTACCCTTCTTGTTTGGATCTCTAAAGTCCAACGGGCAGCCAGAATGAGCACACCCGTAGAGGAAGTGAGGCTTGGAGAGATGGAGGAAGTCAGGTTTGGAAAGACGAGATATCTTCAGGTGGTGTTACAGTGAGCCTTGGGCAGCAGTATTGGAGTTTGTGGTAGGAGGCTCTCATCTGCTCTGCATCTCTGCCCCACTCTGTGGGGCAAGGATCCTCGGAGGCCAGGCCTGTGGAGAGAGCTGAGGACTGAAGGCTGTAAACTGAAAGTTAGAGTCGGCAGCTCCTCTGGGTGAGGGTGGGAGTGGGGAGAAGCCAGTGGACCAGAGGCTGAGCTCCCATGAGCACTGCAGTACTGAATGGCAAGCGAGTCTTGATGCGGGGGATACTGCACAGCCAGGTTAGCCACTGCGACTTGGAGCAGCCTGGCTGGAGCCAGGGCCAATGAGAATCCTGGGGGAATAACGACTGATGCCTCCAAGGACCAGGCTTACTAGTAAAGTCCTCTGGAATTCTACAGTGACACCCTGGGTTGCCATCTTCCGCCATCTCCTCAAGCCTCTGAGATGGCCAGGGGCTTCCTGAGAAGATCGTCTCCAGATATCTACCCCCACACTGCCATGGGAACGCCACCCCCCCAGCCCCTGATCACCCTCTAATGCTCCTACTCACCCGCTAGTCCTCAGTTCATTACGACCTCTTCCTGGGCTTTCGCCCTCTTTCTCGGTATCACCCACATGGCCTCTCTCCCAGGAGATCACTCACTTTGTGCCCGGCCCGTTGGCTGGTGGGTCTGAATGTCCCCTACTTCCATGTGAGCTACGATCAATCAGCGTTACCCAAGGCCTCTCAGAGCTGCACACTGTGGTCTGCTGGCTGAGGCGCATAGGCCTGGCTCCTGGCCACACAGAGTCACTGTCCAGTTGGGGAAAATAGTCACACTCATATCTACATGCTGTCATTCAACTTTAAGTTCATGTTTGCAGTCCCTGCTAGCCATAAGGAAGGCTGACCCGGGGTAGTTGAGAGAACATGGCAGGAATGTCTCTTGGGAACCCCAGAAAGATTTCCCGAGGGGTATAATTTTTGGAGAGCACCGCAGCTATGGCTTCTAATTCCCATTACAGCTCAGTGGGCTAGCACTTGCCCAGCAAGTGGGAGGCCCTTGGGGACTTCAATGCCATTTTAAAAATGAAAGTAAAGTAGTTAAAACTACAATGCTTTTCCAGCAGAGTTAGTAAGAGGCAAGATACCTATTTGTCTTCCAAACAGAAATTGGACATAAGGTCTACCTTTTAAAGAATGGCTGTTGCCTATCTTAAATATTTTTCAATATGGGTTCTTGTCTTAGCAGCCACATGTCGCCTCTTCACTACAAAAACCATGTGTTTACATTTCTTTCTAAAGAGGAAGAGGTGAGGGTGGGAGGAGAGAGATACTCAGTAGAAACACGTGCAGAGGTCCTGTAAGCCGCACGGATGAGGAGCAAAACCGACACCCACGTAGCTAGGGCAACAAAATAGGGCGGGAGGAGTTGGGGTGAGACTGAACAGTAGGTGGGGGCCTTGTTTCCCACAGAGGGGAGCGATGCTGGCAAACGTGTGCCTCCAGCAGTTGGTCACATCCTTGCATCCAAGTGCCAGACTAGAACATGCTACAAAGTGTGTGCTCAGTATGTGGTGTTGAGATGTGACTGCCACGCGGCCAGCCGCTTGCAGACAGCTGGCTGTCATCCAATCTCCCTGTTCTCTGGGACAGAAGGGCTGTGCTAGGTTTGGCAGGTCTGTCCCCTGAGAAGTGGCCTGCCTGCTTCTCCACAACATCTGCAGATCACCTCCCGTGTCTACTCAAGCCATCCCACCCTGCCTGGGTGCTGCTCACTCCACTGCCCGTCAGAGCCTGACTCATCTTCCCAGGAAAAGCCAGCTCCTCCTTCTCGAAGGTTTCCCAGCTCACATGGTTGTAGACTGGCTGACCTCATGAATGAGTGAGCAGGTGAATCCATGGGCTTGACTTCAATGGAACCAACACCTCTTAGTCAATTATTGAAGCCTACGCTACATGGGTATGCTCATCGATCCTCAAACTCACCAACCTCCATGGTGAAACCACTCCATGTAGCTGACAAGGAAACTCAAGCTTAAGAAGATCACACATCCTGCCCAAGGACCCACAGCTAGAAAACAGCAAGGCTAGGATCAAATGGAAGTCCCATGAGTGTCCTTACTCTCCTTTTGTCCATCAATTCATCTACCCACTCATTTTCCTACCTATTCATCTACCCAATCATCCATCCCTTGATCCATCTGTCCATCCATCCATCCAACCATCCATCCATCCATCCATCCATCCATCCATCCATCCATCCATCCATCTACCTGCACACCAACCTATCTACCCCAATGACCCATCTATTTATCCATTTTCCATTCATCCATCCATTCAATTATCTACCCACCTACTTATCCCTCTACCTATTCTTCTCATTGATCCACCCACCCATCCTTTGGCCCATCTGCCCATCCACCCATTTGTGCACCCACAAACCTATCCATCCTACCAATCCATCCATCTATTCACCCACCCAATCCATTGACCAGTCCATTCATATGTACTTATCCATCCTTCCACCCATCCATCCATCGTCCCAGTCATCATCCCCATACTGATCCAACCATCCATCTGTCCACTCTGTGACATGGATTGTTCTAGGAACCTGAGTTAAATTAAACCAGCTAACAGAATCTACAAGGATCTTCACCCTTGTGAAGGCTTTAAACTGTTTGGAGAGGCAGAAAATAAGCAAGATATGCAATGAGGAAGACATTTAACAGAGCAGGCAAGAGTGGCTGGCTGGAGGTGTTGGTGGTATATGTGTGGTGGTGGTATATTTGTGGTGGTATATACGTGTGGTGGTGTATGTGTGATGGTATATGTGTGGTGGTGGTATATGTGTGGTGGCATATGTGTGGTGGTGGCATATGTGTGGTGGCATATGTGTGGTGGTGGCATATGTGTGGTGGCATATGTGTGGTGGTATATGTGTGGTGGTATATGTGTGGTGGCATATGTGTGGTGGTATATGTGTGGTGGTATATGTGTGGTGGTATATGTGTGGTGGTGGTATATGTGTGGTGGCATATGTGTGGTGGCATATGTGTGGTGGTATGTGTGTGATGGCATATGTGTGGTGGTGGTATATGTGTGGTGGCATATGTGTGGTGGCATATGTGTGGTGGCATATGTGTGGTGGTATGTGTGTGATGGCATATGTGTGGTGGTGGTATATGTGTGGTGGCATATGTGTGGTGGTATATGTGTGGTGGTGGTATATGTGTGATGGCATATGTGTGATGGCATATGTGTGATGGCATATGTGTGGTAGTATATGTGTGGTGGCATATGTGTGGTGGTATATATGTGGTGGTATATGTGTGGTGGTGGTATATTTGTGGTGGTGTATATGTGTGGTGGTGTATGTGTGATGGTATATTTGTGGTGGTGGTGTATTGTGATGGTATGTGTGTGATGGCATATGTGTGATGGCATATGTGTGGTGGTGGTGGTATATGTGTGGTGGCATATGTGTGGTGGTATGTGTGTGATGGCATATGTGTGGTGGTGGTGGTATATATGTGGTGGCATATGTGTGGTGGTATATGTGTGGTGGTATATGTGTGGTGGTGGTGGTATATATGTGGTGGTATATGTGTGGTGGCATATGTGTGGTGGCATATGTGTGGTGGCATATGTGTGGTGGTATATGTGCGGTGGCATATGTGTGGTGGTATGTGTGTGATGGCATATGTGTGGTGGCATATGTGTGGTGGCATGTGTGTGGTGGTATGTGTGTGATGGCATATATGTGATGGCATATGTGTGGTGGCATATGTGTGGTGGTATATGTGTGGTGGCATATGTGTGGTGGCATATGTGTGGTGGTGGCATATGTGTGGTGGTGGCATATGTGTGGTGGTATGTGTGTGATGGCATAT